TAAATATTGAATGTTTTAAGTTGTGGCAGCGTTTTTTTTTTTGTCAACCTTTTCAATACTGTGGTCAAAGATACACTAAGTACAGCACAGATAAATTTGAAAGTCTTGACAACTGCCTAATTTCTGCAAAAGAAAATATTCTTCTGCTGCTCTGATGTTAAAGAATTTTTGGTCTTTAATAATGTAGATCCATTGTGAAGATGTTCACTGAATAATGGAAATAAAACTTATGAAGTTAGTCGTTACTGCTATTGAATGCACAGCGTGTTCATATTTCTTTACCGTCTGTGAATACAGAAATACTGCCCTCTTTGGCGGCTTTTGCGTGCGGTCTCCTTTGGCTGGCATTCTGCAGACCTTTTGCTTACAGATAAATCACTTCTGTCAACCCTTTAGATCAATCTACCTTCCTTTAGGGTCTTTTAAGGTGACTAAACGAAGTTTACCCCAACAGTTTTTTAACGAAAGTTGCAGATAAAGTAATTTTTGTTTTGTGTTGATTTGCAATTAAATAACTTTGAAAAAAAAAAATATCTAGACTTTTAGTGGTAACAACAACTAATGATAGTTGTTGATTGTGGTAGTTGGATAGAGCTAGTTTTGGGTGCTCTAAAAATTAGTCTTCATTTGAATAATTTTTTTGAATCTTTTTTTATTGAGTTGGAAGCTTAATTTTGAAGACATCTGAAGAACTTATATACATTTTTAATTCTTTGGTTGAATTTTATTTGGTTTGCTTATCTAAGCAAAAATTAATAGCTAAAAATATATTACGATGTGCAAGCTATTTGCCGCTTTATTGAACTACAGTTTATTGAACCATATAATCATTAGATTATTCCAAATAAATTTAAATGACACCTTTTTTTTTTTTCAGCATTGAAGAGGGAGGGGGAGGGTTGAGTGGGAGAAGAAAAAGGAGTGGAATGAAAGTCATTTTAAAATTTTTCTATGTTGGTCAGAATTTTGTTTAAATTTTACATGATTAAGTTTCGAGAGATATGTATATAGAAAACTAAGTATTTAAAGCTTTTAGGGCTAAATCTGTGGCATTTTTAGTGGCGAATGGAGTACCAGCAATCAGCATTTAAAATCTGTTCAGAAAAGATTCTTCACTGTGGAGGATTTTAGTTATTTATGGTTTATTAATCATTTAAGTTATTTGCATATGGCGCTTTGGGGGCATTTAACTGAACGGTCTCTTGAGTGTTTTAATAATTCAAAAAAGCAGAATGATTTTTTGCTCTGGATATTTTATGTTATTTAAAAGTTCTTTAACTTTAGGTTTTTAAATGAGACGAGATGGTTTTTTGAGGAGTAATTTTGTTTAAGAACATGCCACTTTATACAGTTTATCAGTGTGATCTCATTGTTGATTCTTATAACTTCTTTTTACCATGAATGTTAATAGTGTTTTTTAATTATTTAGTTTTGAATTTTTGGTGGAAAAATTACTAAAATTGATCGATTTTGGTGGCTTTGATTTTGACTGGATTTTATTGAAGAAACTGAGTTTTTGAACGTTTCAAATTTTTCAGGTTATTTGCGCATGCGAGTTTCTATGGCTGTTCATTTTAGTTTAAATTCTGGTGGAGTCTGATGGATGATATTGCGAATGTGCCAGAAGATGTTCAAATAACCAGTGAAAATATTGATGGTAAACTGACTTTTAGTTGAAAGTTTCTTATTATTAATTTTATTGACTTAGATACTAGATTTTTCGTATCTGGCTTGTTCTTTGTTTGTCCAAATTTTATTTAATGACGGTATTTTTTATTTGGTTTTCTATTAGAGGAAAGAAATGAAAACTATCACGTTTGATTTTGAATAGAATACAGTTCAATTTCATGGTTTTTTAATTAGAAATAAACACTTTCAGAGGTAGCAGAAAGTTTTTACGAATACATATTTGAAGCGATGCTTCTTTATCCTGTATTTAAAATTCATCGAGTGGCTAAACTGACAAAAAGCGCTGCTGTGCTTCGTCCTAGTTGTAGTTTTATATTGTTCTTTCTCCACCATTTCTTGCTTTTGTAAAGGACACAGTTATTAATAATTTTCAAAAGTCTTTGTTCAACTTGTGTTTCATCAGAATTCAAGCAAAATTTGTTTTTTCCATAACAATTAAGGATTTGCTTTTTAATGTAAAATAAGCATTCTTTTTCAGTAGAAGAATCATCGAGTGTGAATAGTGATGTAGATATTTTTGGGACTCCACGTAATTTTTTAAAACAGCCAAAGAATATGGAAGTTTATTGTGATGAGTGCAACCGCAGCATAGCTGCTAGTCGATTTGCTCCTCATCTGGAAAAATGTATGGGCATGGGTCGCAATAGTTCAAGGTTAGTTGACAGTTTTTTTTCTTAGCAAATTCTCTTCAATAACTGAATACCAAGTTTGAATTTACTTTTTGCAGTTTTTTATGTTTTGTTTTCTATTTCTCTTATAAATTCATTAATTTTCTCTTTAACGGTGTCTCTTTTATCTTAATAATCGCTTTAGTTTTTAAGACTAACTTTTTTAAAGGATTGCTCGTAGAAGACTTGCTAATTATGTGTCTTTGAAAGGTTCAAGCTCTACTGGCCGGTTGCGTGAATCTGAGGGAAGAGATAGTGATTTGGATCATTCTGACGTATGTTAATCATCCGGAGTCCACATTTATTATAGCAAAATGTTGAGACTTTGTAACTTATTATTTGGTATTCTGGAGGTTTTGGCTTTATTTGACCTTTCTGATGAAGAATAAAATTTGTTACCTATGGTTAAAATCATTTTTGATTTTGTCGTCTTACTTCTGAAGTAATAGGAGTGCTAAATTTTGTTCTATGATTCTTTCTTTGTAGTTGCTTAGTGCTATTTATCTGTTAATCCTGGTAATCTGTTCTTCGTTTTCTTAATTTACCCTTTAATTTGTTCTTGAGCCATTCTTGAGTGTAAAGTTGTTTATTAATCGTAACAGGAAATTTCGGGCATTCCTTCGTTGTTGTTGGTATTTTGAATCAGAATGCTAATGAGTGAATTTAAACAACTGTAGGAAGATTCCCGTCATACCATTGCTGATGACGATGACGACTGGGCTAGTAGTCGTAAGTCGAAAAGAGCACGAAAGTCAAGAAGTCGGGGAAAACCTCGGTCTCGTCAGCGTCAAAGTTTGGAGAAGGTTAGATATTTCTAGAAAAGCTTTTGGTCCTTTCTCATCTGGTTGGCGTTCAACGTGAATAACGTTCGACACTTTCTTTTGGTCTAAGTATATTTGGCCGTTTGGCATAATTTTATCTTGGTCGTCGTTTTTGCGTTGTACTTCTTTTAAAGTATCAAGCTGTTTAGGGACAGATGGTTATGTTTAAGTCAAGCGTTCTTCTTATTTCTATTAAGGAACTGATTTGACGGTAGTGAGTTTTACTACAACTGTTAGCCGTTGAGTTTTTCACGCGAATGAATATTTTATCGGTTCATATTTAGGTAGATCCAGAAGACCCTTCAGTAGCATCTTTTACGTGAATTACATGAATGGGGGATTTAAGGTGTTGACGCCTTCTTGGACACTATTTTTGTTCCATGGTTCTCCTATTTCAAAGCGATGTTTCTGAATTGTTTCTCTGGCTGCAGTTTAGGATTCCTCGGTCAAGTTAAAATTGGATACAACAGTGCTTTTTGCAGACATGCCAAGTGGTTTGAAATTACGAGTACAAAACCGTAACTGGTCTCATTATCATTTTCGCATAGATTTTATCGTTTGATCACATTTCTAAGTTTTTCCAATTGCTTCTTATTTACTGTTTGCTTTTTTTCTTTTTTCTGCTGACCTCACAGTATTTTCATTATTTTTTCCTCACGGAATGGTTTTTGATTGTGGTTAATTTCGGGACTTAAAGAATGTCGTTTTTATTCCCAAGTTTTAGGTGATATTAAGTTTGATATATAGTAAATTTGTCCATTATATTCAGTTTTTGTTCTGTGTTTTGTAAGAGATACTATTTACCCTTACAGCGAATTAACGACAGTTTGCTAAAATGTGACTTTGTTTATCGGGTCTGCTTTACTTGAAACTAACTGATGTGATCTTTGTACATATTTGTTTCTCTGTAGATAGTCTAGAAAGTGTCGAGGAAGTATAACTTTAACAGTAGTTGCAGCTTTTACCTTTAATGTGTCGCCTGTTACTATGAAGTTTTCTTACAAGTGAGGTTGTTTTATACTTTTCTATAAACTTCTTTCTTTTTTCTCTTGATTTTATTTACTAGATTCTTAAAATATCTTTATTGAACAAGGATTGACTTGGCATAAAAAGAAAAAAATGAACTGGTAATCTTACTTAAAAAATGAGAATATTGTTGATAACGATAACTTTTACAACCATTAAAATTTCTTGAGTTTTGTTTTCTACCAGTTGTAGTGCTAAACTTGGATCAGTTCGAAACTGAGCGTGAAATGCAGTTGTGTCATTGCTATTGCTGCTGTTGCGTGTTGGTGCTGTCGCTATTGCTTTCATCAAAGTTGAATTGATACTTTGTTGGTTGTTGGTCCATCTTTCCTCTCTGACTTACAATGAGGATTGTACTGTTGTGCTTTCATCAGAATGGCTTTAATTAAAAATTATTTTTGCAACGGTACATCGTTTCTTGTTTCTAAATTTAAGTTTGGAGCATTACCACTATTATTGGTACATGATCTGTGTTTTTTTTTT